CTGTTTTTTAATAAGGGGAAAACTTCATATGCATTTACTCAATAAATTCTTAAGAAAGCATTTTCAATTTTGTGAATTAAGTCTTTATGAAATACTATGTTGTTATTGTTTTTAATCTCTAGTATGCTTCTGTTGTTTCTAGACATTCCTCAAAGAAAAATCATCCAAATCTGTAAGAAGCAGGAAATTCTAAATTAATGTTGACATACCTATGCAAGTAGGCATATCCTCAGGCAAGAGACCTATTTCCTTTTCCAAGTACTGTTCCTGTGTTATCTTCACTGATATGATATGTAGCTGCATCCAATGCAAGTAAGGACAAGGTACTAATTTCCAAACAATTCAGTTAAAGAATAATAATTTTTACAATGTTATATCCAATACTATATTACATGACTTATAAAATAGATGTACACGAAGGTGCACTTATAAAATTGGTCTTAGAAGTTAGGTCAGGGAAGCCAGGTTACAAAATTAATTTGCCATGTGCTTCTACAATAAATACTAATAAAACATAAAAAGTATAGATTTAATATAAAATCTCCAACTTAATTAGTGTCATACATTGAAGAGACATGAAAATATCCTTTGAATCTAATCACAAAAACTTGTTACAATATTAGTAGCAATTTATGATTGTTGTTGCTTTTAAGTATCATTGAGTCAGTTCTGACTCATAGCGACCCTATATAGAGTTTCCAAGGAGAGGCTGGTGAGTTTGAACTGCTGAGCTTGTGGTTCAAACCGACCTTATGGACCAGTGTTTTATCCCACAGTGCCACACTAGGACTCCAATTTGCAGTTAGAAATATAAAATTTAGTTATACACTCTAAATTACTTTTCCTGAAAGTTTTAGTTTTCCTTTTAGTTATGAACTTTATCTCTCTTGTAACTATTACATAATTTTACTGGTAAAGTACTTAATTAAAAAGTTTAATATAGTTTAACTTATAAACCTATTCCTCAGTTTGGGACATAGATTCACAAAATGCAATTTTGGACAGAGATTCATATTTTTAACAAAGTTTTGTTTTGTTTTAGTAAATTAAATATAGTACATACCATCATCTGCATCAGTAACATTAAACACAAGAACAGTGGATCCTACAGGTAGATTCTCCATTAATGATGTGCTATATGAACTCAGGCTGAATACAGGTGGGTTATCATTTACATCGAGTATATTGAAATAGACTCTGATAGTTGTGAATTGTCCCCCTCCATCTTCAGCTCGAACAGTGAGGATATAATACTGTTGTGCTTCATAATCTAATACTCGAGTCAAATTAAAGACTCCAGTAACTGGATTCAAGAAAAATATGCCATCTTCATCATCTTCATTTACAATATATGTAATTTCTCCATTCACACCAGAGTCATCATCTGTAGCTAAAATAGCTGCTACCAAAGAACCTATAAAAAAGAATAAATTAAGAGTCTATCATTAAACAAAGGACACCAAACTAAAGACATCAAAGAAGTTCGATTTTTAGAGTAAATCATTTTAAGTAGAGAATTATCTTTGTATATGCACATAGAATGTTCTAAATCCCAACATTCTAAATTTACATCCATACAAACATTCTCAAGTATAACAAAATATGTGCCATATTAGATATCTAGAGGATCTTATGTTGTTGTGTATATGAACTTTTCTAGGGAAAAGATCTTAACCCTATTTCTGACATTAATTTTCCACTAAGCATTAGGGATTCTTCAATTTATTGATGAGTTCTGAGAGAGTATATTGGATTCTGTTGCTAGTGTCAAACACTGAGACTTCCGACTAGCAAGACTCACTATACCTGGTGTGTTATAGTGAAGTATCCAGTATGTCTCTTCTAGCCTTAATCTTTGTAACTCCAAAGTCATGGATTGAACTGTATCCCCACCGCCAAAAAAAGAAAAAAAAAATGTGTCTGCCTGACTAGAGCATGATTTGTATTGGTTTGTCACTTATGTGCTGTGATCTGATGTGATAAACCAATAAAAAGATTAAGGGTTTGATACACCACCCTTAATACCACCATGACCCTGATCCAAAGTACAAGAGATTCCAAAGGGTGTGGCATGCAACACCTGTTATCTTCCAATTCAGAAAATGAGAGAAAGAGGGACCTATTATTATCAAGGAGCTCTAATAGCGTAGTGGTTACAAGTTGGTCTGCTAATCTCAAGGCCAGTAGTTCAAAACTACCAGCAGTTCTGTGGGAGAAATATGAGGCTTCCTGATCATGTAAAGATTTATAGCCTCAGAAACCCTACACAGGGTCACTAGGAGTCGTAACCAACTCCACAGGACATAACCACTAACAACTATTCTCACAATAGAAGAGTCAGGAGTGTAGTGTGCCCTTTAGACATGAATTTCCTGTATTCTAAAGCTCCTAGATCCAGGGAAAGAGTAATGTCAAGACAAATGGAGATATCCAAGGAATACTGAGCCCATAGATGCAAAAAGGAGCTCTGGTAGCATAGTGGTTACAAGTTGGGCTGCTAATCTCACGGTCAGCATTTCGAAACTACCAGCAGTACCAAGGGAGAAAGATGAGGTTTTAGCTCCCGTAAAGATTTACAGCCTCGGGAACCCTATACAGAGTCACTATGAGTCAGAAACGACTCCATAATGTATAACTAACTACCAGATGCAGAAAGTAGACAAGGACCTTTCCCCAGAACTCACAAAGAGAAAGCCTTCCCCTAGAGTGGGCACTCTGAATTTGGACTTCTAGATTCCTAAACTGTGAGAGGGACTCCTGGAATGTAGGATTAGCACTGGACTGCAAACCACAAGGTCAGCTTTTCAAACAAATGACCTGCTCCTTGAAAACCCTATACAGGGTCACTATGAGTCAGAACCTACTTGAGGACATGTAACAACAACAACAACAACAACAACATTTCGTGAAAGAATAAATATCTGTTTTTTAATGCAATTCACTTGTGGTATTTCTGTTATAAAAATATTAGCTAACTAAGACACCAACCAAACAACGCTTCTTGCTGGGTCTGGGTAAGAGAAGGTAGGAGAAGATACTAATAGGATGACATGATTCAACTGTGATTGTTTACAGAGCTAACTGTAGCTGTAAAAACTTGAAAATGTAGCCTGGGTATAAAACAAGTCATCTCAAAAGCAGGAAGGGGAATCTCACTATAATCAAAGAAAAACAGAAAGGAGTGTATTGTATCCTTTGGGCCCCAAGACCACTGCACCTTGGAATTCCTAGACTCAGAGACAGAAAGCAGTAACATGGGAGGAGTTGCAGATGAATAGCTGAGAAGCATTAGCAGCAGAAGGAAGTGTCAGAGCATGAGATAGAGCAGTGGGTTTCCCAGGCCAGAGAGCAAGTGAAGCTGAGTATCTTTGGGCAGGAGGCTTACTTGCATAATGGGGTACCTCCAGGTACTTAATTGAAGCTAAATGTGCTGACCCATGAAGCTAGAGCCGAGTGCCATCAGGATAAAGCTTATGGTGAAGTAGCGTGTCCTGTGGGCATTTATCACCACTACTAAAATAACTTTTTAATATTGCCAGAGCAGGGCAGAAGCAAGGCCATGGAGTTAGGGACCAGAGAGAGGTCTGCTAGCCTGGGGGTGCAACTGAGGAGAAACCGGTCTGACTAAAGAAATGTGCACTGAACACATTTATGACCCTGAGTTACACCCTATTTTCTTTCTATGTGGCCATTTCAATAAATTGTTGAACCTAAATGAGTAGACTGTGTGGGGGAGATGCTTTGGAGTTAGGAACACATTTTATTTTTGCACTTGGGGATAACACTCTTCAAGATACAGATCATTGTGCATTTGCTATAATTAAGGTAAGAATTAAGTGATACAGGTATTACATGAAGGCCACAAACAACTCCCCTTTAGGATAACTGTAGTGAGAAGTAATCCTCTGGTTTTTGCTAAATGTTTCCAAATCAGATTAATTTCAAATGTAATTGAAAATCAAATTTCAATTTTAAAGGAGAATTTTGAATAACTGAGATGAAGACATCAGAAATATGAACAATTAATGTTCATATTCAGTCATCACATTATATATTCATTTTGCTGGCAGAAAAAGTGAGCAAACATGTCATAAATAATTCCTAAAACAGAAATATCAGAAATTACTAATCAAATGAAAGGCTAACCTAATCTCCTCCCAAAAGGCTAATGATTTGCTTGAGAATTTTACTAAACATGGTTAATTAGAAGATTAAATAAAATTCAGCATATTTATTTTCATGACTAGGTGTTGTTGTTGATGGTGTTGTTAAGTGTTGCAGAGTCAGTTCCAACTCATAGTGACCCTGTATAGGGTTTTCGAGGAGGGCTGATGAGTTTGAAACTTGGACCTTGCAGTTGAGTGCTTATCCTATAGTGACACATCTGCATATGGTAAGAAATAGTTACTATTTGAGTCCAGCCAAAATAGAATCCATAACTATAGTCAGAAAGGACCTCTGTAAAATACACATCAGTGGCAAAATAGACTTACCAGGGGCTGTGTCTTCAGGGATGTCAAAAGAGTACACATGTCTGGAGAACTTGGGTGTGTGGTCATTCACATCACTGACCGTGATATTAATCCTCATGTCTGAGGACTGCAAACCATCATCAGCACGAACCAACAATGAATATTTGGAACGACGCTCCCTATCCAATCTTTTGGTTGCTATCAGATCTCCGGATTCAGGATCAATACGAAAACTATCATCAGCTCCACTGATGATAGTGTATGTGACGAGAGCATTTGCACCCTAAGAAAAAGAGATGAGGCATCTTAACTGATAAGAGTTAGACATTTAAGAGAATCACTCAAATTTTCTATTAAATATGTACCTAACAAAACAATGTTTTTCTATTTAAATTTCATAGGATGCTGTAAGACTTTTAAAGACAACGAGGCATTGTAGTACAGGTCTACCTGGTATTATTGTCCTTTATTTTCTTGAATATTGAGGTTTTTTTTTGTTTTTTAGCAAATTGAAGGTTTGTAGTAAACTGAAGCAAGCTAGATTATCAGAACCATTTTTCTAAAAGCTTGTGCTCACTTCATGTCTCTGTATTACATTTTGGTAATTCTCACATTTCAAAGTTTTTTATTATGTTATTCCAAACTTAATAAACTACAGTATAGTTTAAATATAACTTTTATATGCACTTGAAAACCAAAAAAAAAAAAATCACGTAGTTCACTTTATTGTGATATTTGCTTTATTGCAGTCATCAGGAATTGAACATGAAATATACAGGAAGTATGTCTGTACCACATAGTCTTTCACCATTCATCCAATTAAATAGTAAAATAAATTTCAGTCTTCAGTATTATAACCTGGTAGAGCTGTGGGTTAGACAGTGGGCTGCTAATTGCAATTTTAATAGTCCAAACCCACCAGCCAGTCTGAGGGAGAAAGATTAGGTTGTCTTCTCTCATATAGACTTACAGGCTTTATAGGGTCACTATGATTCATATTGACTTGAAGGCAGTGGGTAGGATTGGGTTTGTACGCACACAGAAACATTTACACAGACATACATCTTGTTGTTAAGTGCCACTGAGTCAACTCTGACTTTATAGAGTTTCCAAGGAGCAGCTGGTGGGTTGAACTGCCAACCTTGTGGTTTGCAGTCCAGTGCTGGTCCTACAAGAGCCACATCAGGAGTCCATATATAGATATTTTTTCTTAAATACTATATATGAAGAGTAATGTCACTGTGAAAAATACAAACAATACTGTGATTATTAACCACCACAACAAGGAATTTTACTAAAAGTTTGTTCTAGACCAGACACTGTAACATTGTTATATATATCAGGGAGCAAAAAAAGTTCAGAGCAAAATTTCAATATTTTCCCATTTCATTTCCATACATTTTTTTGGAGACCTCTCATATATTTTTTTTCTCTTCAGTTCACAACAATTCCATGAGGTACTATTTCACAAAAGCAAATACAGGGTTCAGAGATGCTAACTAACTTACACATGCTCATCCAGTAAGCATTAGTGGGTTTCAAACTGAACTTTGTCTCACTCTGACATCATGTTCCTTCTGGTACAATAAAAAAAGGAAATATACCAACAAGGCCATTAATATTATAGATGGATTAGAATGTGAAGAAGAAGAAAATAGTAAGTAGGATTTTCTGGGCAAATTCTTTATGCAAAACTAACAAATTTTCTAACAGTCCCAGGTATCTTTTGTAAAATGAAAATAGGGATGACTTACTGTGATCTTTCAAATCTTTGAGCTGTGAGTCTCACAAATTTAAAGAATGAAATAAGAAGTTTGCAGTACAAATAGAAAGACTGGGACTATAGCACCACATTCCACCCCATTCCCCAAAAAAGCCATTGTAGTTAAGTTGATTCTGGCTCATGGTGAGAGTAAAGCTGCACTTGATGGGGTTTTAAGGCTGTGAACTTCCAAAAGCATATTGCCAGGACTTTTTCCCAAGGTACCACAAGGTCAGTTTGAAGTGCTAACTTTTCAGTTAGTACTGAGCACATAACTATTTGTCCCATTTCAGGGCTGAGGGGAACACATATCATGTAATGACTAGAGTCTAGCTTTCAAGAAAAAGTCATTTTGTAACTCTAAAATTTGAAAATGGGGTTCCAATTAATTTCTGAAGACAGTTAAAACCACAAGAGTTGTTGAGAATTTAAACTGTAATAGTGAAACAGCAAAATTAAGGCTGAATATCCATTTTTAAAGAGTAAGAAGACAGAGCAGAAGAAATGATTGACAAAGGAAAACCAAAGAGAAACTTGGGAAGAAAGTCAAAAGTAATACAGAGGTTAAAAGAAAGTTTTCAAGAAGAGGTGGGTTTTAGCAGCATCAAAAATAAGGACTTTAAGAAGAAATAAAATTAAAAAGCATATCTTGATTTGACAATTGGAGATGTTAAAATCTATTTTCAAATCTATTAGAAATCTATCTACTTAATGTTGAAATATTAAGCAACTCAATTCAGTTGTTTCTTAATTATATATATATTATTTTTGAAATTGTAAGTTAGAATACCCTCTGGTAGCATAATGGTTATTTATGAGTTGGGCTGCTAACCTCAAGGTCAGCAGTTCAAAACTATCAGTGGTTCTTCAGGAGAAAGATGAGACTCTACTCCCATAAAGATTTACAGCCTCAAAAACTCTATGCAGGGTTGCTATGAGTTAGAATTGACTTCACAGCACACCATCACTACCACCACCATGGTTGTTGTTGTTGTCAGGTGCCATCAAGTCGGAAGGAATACAAAGAGTCATTGTACCAAAAGGAAATGGTTAATGTTCAACCATTTAAAGAGGTACCATATGAACAAGAGCCAGTGATACTCAGGGAGGAAGTCCAAAATGCATTGAAAGAATTGGCAAAGAACAAGGCACCAGGAATTGATGGAATAAAAATTGAAATCTTTCAAGAAAGTGAGGCGGCACAGGAGGCACTCACTCATCTCTGCCAAGAAATTTGGAAGACAACTATCTGGCCAACTGATTGGAAGAGATCCATATTTGTGCCCATTCCAAAGAGAGGTGACCCAACGGAAATTGGAAATCATCGGACAATCTCTTTGATATCTCAAGCGAGTAAAGTTTTGCTCAAGGTAATACAGAAATGGCTACAATCATACATTGACAGAGAACTTCCAGAGGTTCAAGCTAGATTCAGAAGAGGCCATGAAATGAGAGATATCATTGCAGATGTCCGATGGATCTTGGCTGAAAGCAGAGAATATCAGAAGGATGTTTACCTATGCTTTATTGACTATGCGAAGGCTTTCAATTGTGTGGATCATGACAAGCTATAGACAACATTGAGAAGTATGAGTATTCCAGAACACTTAATTGTACTTCTGAAAAATCTGTACTTGGACCAAGAAGCAGTTGTTCAAACAGAGCATGGGAACCACCATGGTAGGTAATACTATAAATGATGAATTAAAATACCCTATGATGGTTGAGGGCCTCCTGTTCTGGTGCTGTAGTATCAGTACTGAACTTCAAACTAAAAGATTGGCAGTTCAAACCCACCAGCTGCCCCTTGGGAACCCTATACAGTGTTGCTATGAGTGTGAAGAGATTCGGTTGCACTGAACAAAAACCACAATAAGTATAATGGTGGTTGTTGAAATATGATGTTCTAGAAATATACTTCAGGATTACAGCTCTACCTCAGCACTAATTTGTTACGTGACACTAGGCCACATATTAAACTCTTTGCACTGCATTTATGTTTCTTCATCTGTACAATGGGAGTGATGATTTTACCCATTGCACAGGAATGTTGTGTAGATTAAATGAATTGATAAATGTGATGAATTTAGAGAAATTCTTTGTAGTGTAATGTGAAAAAGTAGCATAATGCACGTTGTTTATATTTTTTCTCTTACAAGTAAAATATGAAAAGCAAAATGCATTTTATGATAGATACATCTACAAATGGAGTCCTGGTGTGGTGCTGTGGGTTAATGCCCTGGACAGCAAGGTCAGTTTTAATGGCAAAGTTGGTTTGAACAGCAAAGTTGTTGTTATTGTTAGGTGCCATCGAGTCGGTACCAACTCATAGCGACCCTATGCACAACAGAACAAAACACTGCCCAGTCCTGGGCCAACCTCACAATTGTTGACATGCTTGAGCCCATTGATGCTGCCATTTTGCCAATCCATCTCACTGGGGGTCTTCCTTTTTTTCTCTGACCCTCCACCTTACCAAATACGATATCTTTCTCCAGCGACTAGTCCCTCCTGACTACATGTCTGAAGTATGAGAGAGAAAGTTTGGCCATCTTGGCCTCCAAGGAACACTCTGGCTGCACTTCCAACACAGATCTGTTGGTTCTTTTGATAGTCAATGGCACTTCCATTATTCTCCTCCAACACCATAACTCAAAAGCATCAATTCTTCTACAGTCTTTCTTATTCACTGTCCAGCTCTTGCATGCATATGAGGTTCCTGAAAATACCATGGCTTGGGTCAAGTGCACCTTAGTCTTCAAGCTGACATTTTTGCTCTTCAATACTTTAGAAAGGTGTTGCGCAGCAGATTTGATTACTGTAATACGTCATTTGATTTCTTGACTGCTGCTTCTATGAGTGTTGATAGATAATCCAAGAAGTTGTCCTTGACAACTTCAATCTTTTCTCCATAATAAGAATGTTGTTTACTGGGCAGTGGTGAGGATTTTTGTTTTCTTTACACTGAAATGCAATCCATAATGAAGGCTGTGGTCTTTGAGCTACATCAGTAAGTATTTGAAAGCCTCTTCACTAAACAAGGTTGTATCATCTGCATATCGCAGGTTGTTAATGAGTGTTCCTCCAATCTTGATGCCACATTTTCCTTCATATAACCCAGCTTCTCCGATTATTTGTTTAGCATACAGGCTGAATAAGTATGGTGAAAGAATATAACTCTGTTGCACACTTTCTTAATTTTAAACCAATCAGTGTTCCCATGTTCTGTGTGAACAACTGCCTCCTAGTTCATGTACAGATTCCTCATGAGTACAATTAAGTGTCAGGAATGCGCATACTTCACAATGTTGTCCATAGTTTGTCATGATGCACACAATCAAAAGCCTTTCCGTAGTCAATAAAACACAGGTAAACATCTTTCTGATATTCTACTTTCAGGAATGATCCATCAGACATTAGCAATGTTCTCATTTCATGTCCTCTTCTGAATACAGTGTGAATCTCTGGAAGTTCTCTGTCAACGTATATGTCAAATCTGTTCTTCAGATGAATTCTAAATT